TTTTTAAAAAGTGTTTACAATACCAGTTTGTTCTTTTGACGGTGGTGACTATACATCATTTCTGAAACAAGGAAATTGCACTGGAAACATAAAACATTTAGAAGGAAGTTAATCTATCAAAATAAAGTGTAAACAATTTAAAAATCCAACTCTGATATTTCAACTGTGTAAATATATTGAATCTGCAACACACTAGTGAACATGTCATTTTCAAGCACAGCTTTGATTATAAAAAATGTAAATGAAGATATTTGAAGTACAAACGAGGGCAAGCAAGAGGAATATTTTACTCATAAAACTAACAATCATGAAAACAACTGGCAAGGTAAATGGGAGGTGGTTATCAGAAAAAGTGAGCAACTCGCAGATTTGCCAGCAATTTCATACCTGGTTTGATCAAATATTTGGATTTCTAAAGATGTAAGAGAGAGGAAGGGAAGTTCATTCCCTGCAAAGTGAAATAAACTAGGATTCGAGTCAGTAGCCTGATTTAGGCATTGCATCAAATGTTTAAGGCTGAAAATAATGGTAGGGATAAGTCCAGCCACTGTCTTTTTTTGCCCAGTAGTTCTCGGAGTGCTGTGTGCAAGGCACAGATCTTACTTTGGCACTTGACCATCTGCAGCTGCTTCGCTCTAGCCCCTAGTGAGTTAGCGTCCATGAAGTCCATCTTAATGAAGTAGAGGAAAGGGTCTTCAGGAATATAAAAGATTTACCCTGCTTAGCATGGAGCTGTGCACAATGTGAAATAGAGAGCAAGCGGTGCATGTGCTGATATTTGAAAAGATCTGTGGTTTAAACAGCCCCGTCTAAGGGACAGCGAACTGTGTTTGGAGCCGGCTTGGAGCGCTGAGCGCTGCAGAGCACGGTCAGCTCGCCGCCGGTTGTTCCTATGATAAACATGCTAAGGCCTTTTTACCTATTTATTTCTGCTTCCTTTGAGCTTTGGGTTTACTGGTATGCGAAAGGAAAAAAAAAACAAGCATATGTTCGGTTGCTCAATCAACCTTTTCTCAATCCACACTCGGTGATCTCAGTGAGTCATTACGGCATAATTACAATTTGAGTGTGATACACTGTTTGTAGAAAAGTACCTATTTTTAGCTGAAGAAACACTACAGTCCCTGAAAGGAGGAGAAAAAAAGAAAAAAAGGAAGGAAGAAAATCTGTAACCAGCAAATCAGTGCTATTGTTAACTGATATTACGAGACACCCTGTAGATTTACAATGCTTGCGTTCAGCCACATAAAAACCACACTGAAAAGAATGCCTACCAGGGGTTAAATTCATATGCCTGCGCTGCAGCCTATTTCTGTCAACACTCAGCTCAGGAAATAAACATTTATGCTTTCTGAAATGAAAGTGTATTTTTGAAGACTAGCCGTCAGATATTTTTTGCCCTTCACACTTTCAAATGCTTAGCCTTTTTTGTAAGTTGACTGCAAAGTGCATCAGTTTGCTAGGAGGAAAAAAAAAAAAAAAAAAAAAAAAATCTTGACAAGTGCCCATGGCATCATTGTCAAGCACACGAGCCTCTAGTAGAAGATGGCAGGAGGATTGGCACAAAACATGCTTCCTTCAAGCTTCTTACCTCAGGGGTACCTGACTCTTGAGAAGCCTTTCAATCCTTCCAAATGACGTTATTGCAAACTGTCATCTGGTTTATTTGGAGCGCGCCGTATCGCAGATAAACATGCTATTTAACTGCAGGTCAAGGTATAGAGTCATTCTGCTAGCAAATGCCTGAAATACATTAAGTGGCATTGACTTGGGGAGGGAGATGGAAAGAGATCAAAGTTGTCACCAATATGGTACACGCTAAAGGGGAAGAAGGTACACAGCATTGTATTTTAAAAAGCCATTATGCAGTTCTACATTTAAAACATTGACCTGCAAGACTCTTAAGGATTAAGGAGCCACACCGTGCACGACGAAGTTCAAAGCCACGCTGTCGCGCAGCATCTCAGGGCGGTTTGGAAAGAGCTTACAGTTGTGACTGAGAAGGCTACCACCGGTCCAGAAAGCTGGCAGTGTATTTCTTCTAATTTGGAGACTTTTTTAAAAACAGTTACATTTTAAAATAGAACGTGTCCACTTGTCACAGAATGTGGTTGATCTAGGGGATTCATATAACGAAAGCTCAGAGAATCAGAGCACAGTTTGGCGTGAAATAAGTATAGCTTCCTCCAAACAATTAAAAATAAATCTCTGTATGTAAATATATCTGCCTGTGTAATCTATTCTTTTAACTGGGATCTGCTGAACATCTATTAAAAGGGCATTGGTGTGTTTCATCAAGAGATGTGCTGGATGCTTTCACATTTTCTGAAAAATCAAAACAAAACAAAAACAGATTAATTACAATTCGAAGCAGCTTTTTACATTGCCACAAGGGATGCCTTTAAAAGTTAAAACATGCTTTCACTGAGCAGGCTTTCAAGGGGAAGTTACTTCGATCAGGAAGAAAATAATCATGTTTATTTGATTTATTATTGGAGAGCAGAACAGTGTGGTTTATATTTGCCAGTTTTTCTATAATGTAAAAAATTTCTTCTGATTTTTTGTGTCATATAAAAACAATTAGTATACTTACTGCACCAGAATGCAGATTTTTCAGGAGTGCAGTACAATAAATTATAGGCAACATCCCATTTTTCCCCCTCACAAGGCATATGTAATTTCCTTTGACTGTGGCACACAATAAATGTTATTGAAACATAGCATTATTTATTAAAAAAAAAAACAAAAAACAAAACAACAAACCTGTACTAAAATAGATAAGTAAATAAAAGAAGGAATTTGGGAGTTTTCAGAAAAAAAAAGAATAGAGAGAAATTGCAGGTTAAACTTTGTTTAACCAAAACTGATTTTATTGCTTTTTGCTTAATTAAACTCCTCAGAAGTGTGTGAAACATTGTTATACCTGAAAAATTGTTAATTTGTAAATCACAGGGACAAAAGGGCTCCACTGCAACTTTAAAGTTTCTATGCACGTAAATGTCAATAGAGTGCCTTCTCCATCATCAGCACTAAATTCACATTGATGCCTCTTTTCTTCTCTGTATTGATCCTTCCATGAGAACGTAGATTTGTATCTGTTAATTAATGCGTCCTGAAACAGCGTTTGTATTAATCAGGCAGATAAGAAAAATTGGATGCCTGCACCCTCATGACAACCGTAAAAGTGCTGGCCCTGATAAAATCGTGGATGGACCTCAATAAAAAAGTTCCTCCTTCCACTCAATAAACTAATCATCCTGCTTTTAATTATTCGGCAGAAAGATGTGTGGAGATTGGAGAATGTGTAAATCTATTTACTAACAGCAGTGTCTGGGAGGGAGAATGGGGCTGTCACAGGACGGTGCTGCAGGCTACGTTCTCTGTCCATCTGCTACTGCAGAAAAACTGGTTCTTGAAAGACGGGAAGGAACAGAAATGTTGAAGCTAATTGAAATCATGAATTCCTCCCTATAACCTTTCAAATGATTATTTCTTCTCCATTTCCCTCTTACTTATTTTAATCGCAGATGTGTTATTTTCCATTGTCACCTCTTCAAGGGTTTCCTGCTGTTGTTGGCTCAGTTTTTGTTGGTTTGTTTTGAAGGCAGAGAGCTGCAGTTCTGTCACAAGACTCAAAAGACACTAAGAGAAAATGAAAACAAATAAGGAGGGGGAGAAAAATGAGAGAGAGGGAGCATGCAGCCGGTTTTATGTTTCATTTTTTATGGATGCCTGGTGGTTTGGATGTGGGGTTTTCTTTTTTATTGTATTAGTTTTGCTGCTTAGTGCTTATAGAGAAAATCTCGTTTGGAGTAGATGCCTTGCAGATTTGCTGGTTTATGATATATTCCTGCTTGACTGTAACTCTCGACTTTCAAAACAGAAAAATGCATTTAAGTGTAATTGAACGCCAAAAAGAATGTTCTTACAGCGGGAACCCTGTCAAAGGACATGTAAGCAGCTCCATAAACAACTAAATGAAAGCCTCGGACATGTCTTAAGACCCTTTAAGAAAAGCTTGACTAATCCCCTTTGATGATTTTATTAAGTACTTGTGGGTGATGGTGCCAACTGGCAAACTACTGCATCTCACCAACAGGCCAGGAAAATCATTTCCTCTCCCATATTGTTTTGTAGCTCCTAATATGATTGGGATATTAGCAGTTTGATATAATAAATTAACAGGTACTGTAAACAAGAGTCTGAAAAGGTAAGACAGTAAAAATGTTTGCCCTTAGTGATCCTATAAGGAAAGACAGCGGGGGGGGGGGGGGGGGCGGGGGGGGGGGGGGGGGGAAGAGCAAAAGTTAAATTCATTAAGAGGCATTTATTAAATTTTTAGTTGCCCTCAGAAAAAGGATGGTGTGATTGCTATTCAGTTGGCACTTCAATATACCACCCTGTTATTTCAACAAGTGTACTAGAGGCGGGGGCTGTTACAGAAGTAATTAGCATCTTTTCTGAGGAGGGTAGGTGTTACTTCTCTTTCCCCTGAGGTTAAAGTTCAAAGAGAATTTTCCTCTTTGTGTTGAACACCTTAATTCTATTAAAACATCAAATCTTCCCTTTTAAAAAAGTTTTGGGTTTTTTTTTTCCTCTCCTAAATTATCCTTCTTGGTTTATGGTGATGATGAACAGAGTCATCAGATCCCTGTTTCACAGCATTAGGTTTTTGAACTAAGCATGAGTATTCCAGAACAAAGAAGACATCATGCAAATTGCAGACTATCAGTACTCCCCCAAAAAGCGGAATTCTTACAGAAAGAGCCTGTAAATTCCAACTTGTTTATAACTTCCTACGTTGATTAGAAAACGTTTGATTTTATATTGATTTACTTTCCTGTAGTAGGATGGGGAGGAGAGGCACAAAAGTGTAAGGGAGAATAATAGAATATGTACATGTTTTATCACAATATATATAAAAATACATCAAAAAGAGGAGCAGGTTTCTAACAAATCCAAACGTGCTTAATATTTTTCCTGTGTTTTTTTCCGTTCAGGATTCTCCACTTTGTCTCTAGCTGACCAGATGAGCCTTCTGCAGAGTGCTTGGATGGAGATTTTGATTCTCGGTGTTGTATACCGGTCACTTTCTTTTGAGGATGAGCTCGTATATGCTGAAGATTATATTATGGATGAAGACCAATCCAAGTTGGCAGGCCTTCTTGACCTTAACAATGCCATACTGCAGCTGGTAAAGAAATACAAGAGCATGAAGCTGGAGAAAGAAGAGTTTGTCACCCTCAAAGCTATAGCACTTGCTAATTCAGGTTGGCAGAGTGGCATGACAGTTGCTACATTTTTAATGTCACTTTTTTTTTTCTTCTCCACAATATTTTCTGCATGCTTGTTTGAAACACGGTTTTAGAATAAGAAATTGCTAATCAGACCTTAGTCTAGAAGGCAACAAACAAAGCAGTTCAAACTAAGGAGAGCTTTCTGGTTCTAAGTAATTGTGGAATATGTTCCTAAGGGAGTGAAGAATACTGTATGTATGATTTGGAGGGTACTTTAACAGGCGAAGATCCTTTCAAATGAATATAGATGTTGTTCTAAATCCATTCCGTAATCCAGGAAGTCTAATCATTGGAATTAAAACGAATAGAAAGGATGCATAAGAATATGCCTTGTACATTCTCTTTAAAGGCAGATACTGATTTATTTGATAGGGTGAATTCAGGATATGGGAGGAGGGAGGAAATTCTTATTTAATCTCACAAGGACCACACCTTACCTTACGCATCCTCTGTGTTTATGAGAATGCTCCTGCAAAAATTATTACCTCTGCAGGAAGGGTTAAAAATCTCAGACAGAATTTTTTTTCTGCATTTGAATTTAAAAGTGCTGAAGCAGTGAATACTGTCAGATAAGTAAAAATCGTTTGTGCTTTGTTGTTTTTCCTTTTGTGTCTCCTTAATGCTTTATTGTGGTCTTAAGTCCCTTTTAGCATTTGCATAAAGTTCACGATAGATCCCTCTTTAATGACGTGCCGATCATTAGATACCTGTGTGTCAATAACATGCTCTGATGCTATGTTCCATTGACAGTCACACCGTGCCCCTCCATCTGCTTTTGTTTTGACCCTATCTTTGAACTTTATCTTGGTTGCTGGCCAGTAGTTTTCCCTTTAATTACAAGAAGGAAACTGTCAATAAAATCTGTTAAATGGGATGCAATGAGTGGCTTGAATGGGCGGACGGCTATTTGTTCAAATTCTGCAGCATTCAAGGTATTGACAGTTTGTTTTCTGGGGCCATATGTGACGATCAATCTCAGGCTGGGCTCAGCCGCGCTGAAAAATGAAAAACCAGATTGCTTTTGCTTACTTGTGGATGACGACTTGTGATTTGGCGCGGTCCTAGTGAGATGAGACCTTCTGCCCAAATTGCCCCCCTGAGAGTCAGGATGCGTGACTGTTTTTAGGAATAATTTTTTAATTGATTTTGTAATTAACAGTTCATCTACAATATTGATGCATGAATCCTCAGATTGATAGGAGGGAAATTGTTTTCAACAATGAAGTTGTACTTTCCTATTTGTCTTTGTAATGTGATTTAGCACTCTGCATTTTTAATTGGAAATATAGTTCAAAAACATGCAAAGCCAAAATGCTTATTAGTTTCTTTGTAAAATATTCTCCGCCCCACTAACTCTGCCCTTAGTTTTAGAACATTATCTTCTTTCCAGAATAAACAAAATGCTGAAATGCCTCTCAAAGATTAAAATTATTTTTAATTGAAGATTTATTTTTAGTTTTTGACCATTGTAAATAGACACTTGAGGATGCTTCGCAGCTGCAAGAAGGATTTTTCTCAAAATTGGTCATGCTTAATGAACAGAGCAAGAAAGTTACCTGGAATTAGGAGTCCAAATTGAGAAGTTTTTTTGTCTTTATTTTGATTCTGTAATTCAAAGACTGAATGAGAAATGTTTCTATAGTTTATGTGATAAAAAGGATAAGGGGAGTGAATAGAGGGGTATGGTGTTAAATACCACTCACACCTTTTTTTTTTTTTTTTTTTTTTTTTTTTTTTTTTTTTTTTTTTTTTTTTTTTTTTTTTTTCCCCAAAAAAGCCATGCAGTGTTTAAGTAATAGTAAAAGATACTGCTGCCAAAAAAAGTTTAGTCATATGTGGTGCATAGAGTGTGTCAAAATCATCTGTAGCTTCATTAACTTCACTGGGAATTACAACCAGGATAATGTCAGCGATAAATACTATTCAGCATACTAAAATTCAGGGCACATTTAGGTGAAAATATTTCCTTCCCTCATCTTAAAAGAAATAAAATTGCTATTTTAAAGTCAAACTATTGCAAGGAGTTAAAAAGCAGCCCAGCCGTTCGACTTGCCTTTCAACAGAATGTTTTGACAAGCGACATTCAACATTTCAGCTTCAGGTTGTACACGCAGCAGATACCAAACTTGTATCAGCTGTAGCTACACTAACCTGGAGGTGTAAAATAGCACCTGCAGAATTACAGCCCATCAAAGAATACCAGACTCCTTGTGTTTTAATTTACAAATGCTGCTAAAATTAAAGTGTTTGTCTTTTTTTTACAGACAAAACCAGAAATAGCTTATTTTGACTTAACTATGAAGTTGATTAATGTAAATGCAGCTATATCTGAAAAAAAGAAATAAAATGCCATTATAAAATCAATCAGTTAGCAATTCACATTTTAATATGTTTTGTTGCTACATCTGCTTTCTTCGAAAACTTCCACTATTTATTTTACCGGTTTAAAATATATTAGACTTTTTATAGCTGTAGAGAGAATGGATGAAGTATAATAAGAAATCTTGGGCTTTTCAGACATTTTTGCCGTATCTGCACTGTCTAGAAAGATTCCTAGGTTGACTCTACTGTAAACAGTAGACAAAGATGGTTTTATAGCTCTGTATCTGTGTTAGTGATTTATGATACAGTGTCATAGTACTTTCCCTGCTGGTGTATAGAAGCAGGAAAAAGAAATTGTAGATTGTCTTCATATTGGTTGTATTTTGTTTGAATAAATACCCCAAGGTTTCTTTTGGCCAGCAAATCTCAGTATCATGAGCATTAAAACACCCCAACTGCTAACTTTTCTTTAGGCCTACAAAGTTGATTTGTGCAGTACTCGGTCTGAGATAATCCTGCCATTTGGTTGCTAAAAGGTGGGGAGGAGGAGCCGTTTTTCAGGGAGATTCTCTGACAGCCATTATCAAATGTTCCCTTTGCAGCATTGGCCAGTGCCACGCTGCTCCTATGAATTTCCAGCAACGCAAGATGTATTGACCCTGTACATTGTCACTGATTTCAAACGGAGTGCATATAGCATCTGAAAAGTTTAAACGCATATATAAGAGCACAATACTGAAACGTATAGACATTTCAGTCCTGTGTATGTTAAAGTCTATACAGGCATGGTTTCAACAGTTACATTTAATATATTGTAGTGCTTAATATGGAATTTGTCCGGTTAGTTTTAAACATCTGCATTGATTTGATAGTAATTAATACAGCCTTTATGCTTGAACTCCAGAGAAGTCCCTCTGGCCACCTCGTTGCCCTTGTCCTGTCAGTGTCAGGAGTTCCTTCTGCCTTTCTCTACCTTCTCTACACAAAAGCAAGTAGGTGCCTTGAAGCTGCAGGATGCAACTGCCCTGCGTTCCACCTCACACTGCCCAAACGAAGCAAGCTGGCACCAATGAGCACTTTGTTTACCCACGCAGAAAATCAACTTTGAATGGTTTCCAAAACATGCATGTACCAATTACTTCCTCTTGTGTAAGGGAAGGTGAAATATTTACAAAATATGTTTAAAGCGTACAGAAGTGCATGCACACACACGTGAACACTCCACCGCATAAAAGATGACCTGCTCATCTCTTTTGTATTAGAAAATGCTTTCATGTATCGATTAGGTAATGCTAAACAGGGAGTTGCAGGTGAGCAGTTTTTTGAAATTGCCTAATCAGTAAGGACTAAATTGTGCCTTCAGGCCAAATGTTGCAGAAGGGCTTAGGAGTCACAACTGAGACCAGATTTTTAAGAGAAGCTCAGTTCCCATCTAAGACCTAACGTGAGGAACTAGAGTGTCGAAATACATTAGCACATTTGAAAATCTGACCCGTGTGTATCTGCCTAATAGGCTGCTGGCATCTTGAAAAACCTGACCCAAATGTGGATGCTAGGCACTTAAAAGTATAACCCTGTGCACTGTTGAAAATTTAATCTTAAACGCTAATACTAGCTGTCTAGCCTGTACCACCAGAAGGAGAAAAGGACCTCTGCTCACCATCACAATTTCTGGTCTCTCTTATTAACTCTCCTAAAAAAAAATCCAGCACCCTTTCAGTACTGAAGGAGTGAGAACCAAGAAGTATCTTGTGCATTTTAGCATAATGAAGCACAGATCAACATTGGTACCAGTAAAGTTAGACAATCTTCTGTCCTGGTAAAAAAATTAGTTGCTTCTTACAACTTATTTAGCTTTCCAGCCATTTCCCCCCCCAGCCACTAAAAAGTGTACTCAGAGCACTAGGCTATCACCATCAAATAATATATAAAAATGAAAATATATACAATATATAATATATAATATATAATATATAATATATAATAATATAAAATATATAATATATAATAATAAAAATTAATTGGTAGAACCCTATAAATCACTTATTCCACAGGACATCATCTTTATTCCCAGTATAGACTGTGGTTTATCTTTTGTCTCAACATACTATATTTAGTTTCTAATAATGTCAATTTTTAAATTTTATTTTATTTAGTCATCTTGTTAGTGTTGGAATTCATGATTAAAATGTATCTATGGTGAACAGACATATATAAAATATACATATACACCTGTGTGTTACTGATGTGTTACCAATGTTTATTTTGCCACATAGAGATAGCAAGGTCTGTTAACTCTTTCCTGTAATTTTGTACAGAGAGTGGTACAGCATAGAAGCAAATAGTTAGAAAAAGAAGTTGCCACTATAGTCAGAGTTTTCGTGTTGCTTGAACACAGTTTCTTCTTCGTATTCCATTTTCATGTAATCAAAGAGATGGCACCCACAATTGTTAGAGAAAATAAATAATGATAAAATAAATAAGGATAGCTTAATGCTATCATTAAACAAATGGTAGCAGAGTTATTGAATGGTTTAATTTTTTTTTCTTTTTCTGGTAGTTGGTCTAGTAACTGAGTAACTTTGAGATATTCCTGACTTAGTTATGAAATAGGTAGATGTTATTTACGTGTTAGCAGCCTGAGACTGGCG